ATATATATCTAACTCCCTTTTCAGTTTTATGATATTCTCTGACTTTTTCAGAGATGTGAATGAAGGTCGTAGAGGTGCTGAGTAAAATGTCAACAGTGGCAACCAATCAGCTTTCTCTGTTAGTTTTGTAAACAAACTGGCAACCAAAACAATCTTTTCCAGGTAGACTCTTACATAAGTCACACCTTTCTTCTTGCTGATGCATTTACTATTCTTGAATAATTTGACCTAATTTAAAGAGTTTCTTAAGGTGATCAAACTTAAAAAAACTTGATTTTCACCAATGTGTTCACAAAACCTGAAATAATTAGTTGCAAATGATTTTAATCAAAAAGGATGTGTGTGGAAATTGGGCATTCAAAGATTTGACAGTTATGGCAATAAAATGTGACATTTAGAGCAATTACTGCTGACAAAATGAATGAATCACTGACCTCTAAGGACTGAATGGAACCATTTTTCCATATGAACAATTAACCACTGCTCATACCTGGCACTTTGATTTCAGACATGAAAAAATATTACAAGTGCAGAGGATGTGACTCAGTCCTGTGACAGACTGAAGAGAGAAAGGGAGGGGGAAATAAAGAATCACTTTTCAGATTCAGTAAATAACAGGTTCACAAACACTGACCACACCTCGTGCACCAAAATCGTTGAATCGCTATTGCATGTTTTTTTCACATGTTATCAGATCTCAGAATCAGGAAGTGCAAAGGATGCAATTAAAAGATTAGGTCTAACATTAAATAAAGCATTTGAAAGCAGCTCATAATTTCTAAAAGAATTTATCTACTGATAAGAAAGGGCGTCACACAACCAAACATGTCTCATTAGTTCACAAAACTACATTTTGATTTCTTTCCAGGAAACACCAGACACAAGAGAAAAAGAAATGCTTTCCACTAGCGAAGCAGAAAAAAAAAAGTATCCTTTTTGTGGTTCCAGAGAGACAACATGTGGAACCTGGGCTGTTCTGGGGAATTCCTTTCATCTGGCACTTCTTTAAGTCTTTTAAAGTTTGGTTTTTCAGTTCAGCAGCTTCTTTAGTCTTTGTCCAGCAGGTCGGTGCCAAATACAGACGCCCAGCTGGTTACATATGAGGAACCAGCCAATCAGCAGCTGACGTCTCTTGCAGCCATTTCCCTGTGCTTATCTAACCAAGTACAAAGAATTCGGCATGTACTTTTTTTTTATAGCAAGTAAAACAAATCAGGCTGTTCTGAAAAGACTTAGAAGAACTTTGCACACCCATATTTTTATTTATTTAGAAAGCAAAAGAGAAAGACACAAGCAGCAGTGATCAGAGTTCTGAAAGTTGGAATTAAGTCCCAATAAGAATTTTTCAGACTTTCAGTTGAATGTAGGAAAGAGGAGAATTAGATTTTCATTTTGCCCAGTAAGGCTGGATGTTCTCATGTCAGAACTGTAAGCACTATACAGTCTTTGGGATGTTAAAGTGTTTGTGAGCACACAGCTGTATGTGTTAACTCGTCACAGATGCGTACAGTGTGAGATACAGAGTGTACATCTAAGCACTGTCACTGAAAATAAACGTATACTAGTCAGGAATGCTGAACAGGCTAGTACACCTCGACAGTGGCACCAAACAGAGCGTGCCTCTCTACACACACGGCGCGTTATTTCTGCTATGATCGAGACGGCGCGTCCTCAAAACTGATGATGCTGGACTCCGGGTGCTGCACTCCGCCCGCCGACGGCGTCCCGCCGCTCTGAGACACGGAAGATGAGGACGTGGAGGAGAGGGAAGCGCCGACGTGCCCGCCGGCTGTTCGCAGAGCGGAGGACGAGGGGTCGCGCCCGCCCGGGAGGAGAGGCTGTGTGACGGTTCTGACCTCGTCCTCCTCCTCGTCCTCCTCGTCGTCCATGCTGGGCCACGCAGACTGGTCCTCGACTCGCTTTAGACGTTCGTTGAGAGCTTTCAGGGCCAGTTGTCTGGAAGGGAGGAGGCAAAAATGGACATTAATTAGTATGTTTTCATGAGCACAAATCATAGAGCATTATTTTATTTTGTAGATATCTGCACACCTCACATTAATAAATAAAAAAGATCATCATGCGAGGGACAAGAAAAAAGGGTAAATTTTGTCACTGGTTACATTAGTGGCCAGAAAGGTGATGTTTTTATGATGGAAGTCTGACAAACCCCCTACTTTGAAATGTGGCTGAGAGATGTTAGAAATGTATGTCAGGTTTATCTTGTCTAACAAAGAGAATATTTTATAATATTTGGCAACTAGTCATTAATTTGATGAATAAACGTTTGCAATACTCACTGTTTCTTTTTTCTCTCCATATAATATTTACTGTTATACCACCTGTTGTTTACTTGTTTTGTAAATGTTTTATGGATTTCTTTTTTAATTTTCATAAAATTCATAAACTTCCTGGTTGGACTCATCACTGTTCAGTTCTTTCATTGTCTGATGCCTTGACTTTTCAGAATTATGTTTTGTATAGTGGTATTAATTTATATTTTCAGATCTTCCAAGGTGCCAATTATGGAACTCTCTGTGCATTGRTGCCCAAATCAAATTCTGGAAGTGGTCATTCAACTAGATCTGTTACAAAAGGACAACTGATATTACCAACTTTTAAAAACTGTTATGGCCAGAGGTCTTTCTTCTATGTTTATACTAAAGCATGGAATGACATTCCTCAAAATATAAAGTCCATTTCAAAACTACAGCCCTTTAAGAAGAATCTTGTCTGCCATCTGCTGGACACTTTTTGTTGTGCTCATATTTAGACGTCCTATTTTGCAAATGCTGCCTTTTTGAAATTTGGTATGCTTGTTTGTCTTTGTGTCTATGGTGTATAATGATGTGATTGTGATGCTGTATTTCTGAGTGTTTTATGTGCTGCAGAACAGGAACCTGCTGTAAAACAGCAATTATGCTGAGTCAGGCTTGATTTTTAATAATCTTTTCCTGTTAAATAAATAAATAAATCAAATCAATTTTGGAAGGTGGTTGCTGTATGTGTATATTTATGTTATTAAACCTAAAATCTAAAAAGAACATCATCTTAATCATCTAGTCACAAATACAAATTTTTCAGTCAGATGATTTTAATTTTACCAGTGGGTTACCTGCAGGACACTATTTCAACCAAAAAATCCAACACCCTTTTAGTGACTGATGAATTTATTTTAAACAAACAATAAAACTAAATAAAACGAGTTCATCTGCTCTACTTGTTTGTTCAAGGTTTACAATTGCAGTCATGATACTGCTATTATTATTTAATGCTAACAACTAAAGAAACAAGATAGAAATCGATGCCAGCTGTCACTGATGTCGCCCTGTCGCATGTGCAGACTAAAAATGGCAAAAAGTAGCAAACCATGATTTCCCTATATTGCGAGATTGCTCACAATCCACAAACGCTCAGAGTATGTGTTGGCACTTAGATCTACTTACAAAAATAAATTCAGCTCAATAACTACGTTCGTTACTGAACTACTGCCATTTTTATGAGGTGCAAGGTTTGACTACAGTGGCAGCCATCTTGGATCACATGACCTTGCAAACGTCACTAGGGCTTGAGCGTTCAGTAGTGACCAACTGTTAGCAGTTTTGTTGGAATCATCACAGGCCTTTGTTATTTAAATCATCTCATAAGGTAAACGGACGGACGGAGAGTAATTTCTATGTCTTCCGCTGCGGTGACAGGGGACAATAAGGACACTTTTAAACTTGTTTCTTTATCTCTTTGGATTAGATCTAATTTTTTATTCTGATAAAAAGAGTTACTTCTGATTGTACCTAATTTTTGAAAACGTATCTCTAGATTTCTAATTTACGTGCTTTTATTACTGAAAAGTATAGGCCCACAAAAACACATTACCTTAAAACATCCAAGTAAAATTTATTAAGAGAACGAGTTGTTATAACCTTAAAGGGACAGAGATATTTGTAAAAACCAAATTAAGAACTAGTTTGGAGGAACGGTGTACTTTAATTCAAGGAATAAAATTATGGAATAATTAGGGGAGTGATGTAAAAAAACGCAGGATATTATGTACATTTAAAATGATAAAAGCTGGATTGCTAAAGAAATATGCAACAGTACAAGGTGTATCTATATAAATTGTTGTTCTAGAGGGATTAGATGTTCTTGTATTTTGTTTTGTTAACAGATTTTTTTGTCATATGAACTTATTCTAGAAAAAAGGGGCAGATAAGATTTTTTCTTCTCTCTGCTGCCTTTCATTTGATTTTATTTGTGATCTTGATATACATATATATAGATTTTTCTCTCATTTTTCTTTTTATTGTATATTGTAAACAAAATTATTTGTTTTGTTTTAATGAAATGAATAAGTAATTGAAACAAACTTTGAATATTTTAACTGTTGATATTGAAACTTTTAACACAATTTAGAAGATTACCATTTCTTATTTTAAGACTTCAGAAACCGACTCACCTCCTTCTTTCTGCATCCTGGGGGTCCGTCCCTGGCAGGCTGATGGTGATGGAGGAGGGCGCCCCCACGTCGTATCTCTTTACCATCTTCCTGCACACCTTGATCTTCACCAGGGCGGCGTGAACGAGGCCGGCCAGCAGCCCGACAACTGGCTGCACAGCCTCCGGGAAGAAACTCGCAAAGGCAAAGTGGTCTGACATGTCCCCGCGTCCTCGGCTGTGTCTCTGGTAGAAGCGCAGGTACACCCACCCAGACAGGGAGCCGTAGCTGTACGCAGCCAGGGGGGCACAGCTGTCGAGCAGCCCAGACAGGCGCAGCAAGGCTAGGAAGAGGAGGACCAAAGCCGGAGCAGCTTTCAGTCTCACCTGAGATGGGAGGAGAATACAGACATTATTTTACGAGGACAGATTCAGAAATACAACATTTCAAGATTCACATTTAACAACTGAAAGAGCTAATGTTCTAAGTAGGTCAGAAGTGACGAATAAAATTAAAATTAAGTGAACCTGTTTTCTAAAAACTTTATTTTACATATCTTCATATTAATAATTAGATTTATACAAATCCTAAAAGTAAATTATAATGGAAGTACTAATATTAGATATCGCTTAGAGGCAAAATAATGTGAACCTATAAAATTATTATTAGATACCATGACCAGCCTTTAAATAACAGGCATCCTTAACCTGACCTTCATAAAAAGGCTTTTGGACGTGCATCATGACACGAGCAAAAAGATTTCTTTGTAACTCCAAAAAGATTCACTGATGCTCAGGAGGCTGGAAAAGGTTACAAAACCATCCCTAATAATTTCTGGCTCTTCCACTTCACACATCTCATGCTGATTCACACGTATCTTTAGCTAACTGCAGTTATTTTGAGGGCAATTAAAATGTAGCTTGACAGCCTTGATAGAACTGCAAAAAAAAGTACCATTTGTATTTTAATTTATGTGTTATTGATCCAAGTAAGTTTGACAGGGTGAAAAAGATGCAGCGTATTTTAAGCCCAGAGAGGAGGGCTGCGCTGAAGTACAGCTTCTCTGTACCTCCCTTAAGGCAACTATTAAGCAATTATGCAAACTACATGTTAGGGCCTGAGTGATTGTGGCATTGTGTGAAATACGGTATAGATGGCGCAAACCAAAATGCAGCTTGTGCCTGTAAATTTGATTAGCACTAGATTTTAAATGTCACAGACTGACTGGCTGGTAGAGGTTATACAAGCAAAAATGTTTTCCTATTTTGGTTACAGGTTTTTCAAAGGATTTTTGCATACAAAATGTTTAGTTCATATCTAAAACTCTATATTTGGTTAAACAACAACAACAATTAATTCACAAAACCTTATTTGATTGGTTAAACATAGCGGAGGCAGAGTCATGGTTTGGGTTTTACTAGATACTAACAAGTATTCACACACTTTGTCCTCTGTGTTTAATGGTGAATCCTTTAAAGCAGTGGTTCCCAAACTTTTTATCTTCTGACCCACAAAATATCCATGGCAAAAACTTGTGACCCCAAATATTACTGATCTAAGTACATGGACTTCGTTAAAAACCCTAAAAACGCAGGCTTTTTGACAATCTAAACAGCTTATACACAAATATAAATACTTCTTTTTTACTTATTTTGTGTTTTTGTAATAAATATAGGGAAAATGTTACATCAGCAATTATTTTATTACCCTTTAAATTGATTTCTGGAGATTATCCAAGGTGCTTCATGACCCATAATTGGGTCCCAAGCCCAACTTTGGGAACCAAAGTGCAATGGTTCCCAAACTTTTCAGTTTTTGACCCACATAATAATAACAGAGACCTGTGCTCCCAAACTATTTTTGAATGATAAACATTTGTATCAGGTCAACTAAACATGGGCATAGTAACAATATTTTTATGCTACATTTATCCATTTTAAACATACTAACCTCATTCCTTTGTAACAACTAAGGCAAAAATGTAATTAATTCAGAAAATCTTTTCAGGACCCCACCTTGATGTTTCGGGACCCCACTTTGGGTCCCGACCCCAACTTTGGGAAACACTGCTTTAAAGGCACAGTGTGTAGGATTTGTTGTTTTCAGCGACATCTAGTGGTTGAGTGGTTGAATCAGCCTCCCTGGTCCTCCCCCCACCCCCCCTTCCAAACACAAAGGCATTGCTACGGTGTCTCTCAGGTGTCAAAAACCTTTGATAATTCCAACCGCGATGTCTACCAGCAGCTTCAGGGCTAGTGATGTTTCAAGTGGTAAGATTATGAGCTTTAATGAGTAAAATTATCCCAGCTACAATGACAGACAACAAATATTACATTTATAGTATTATAAGTAAAACCGTTTTTGACGCCGCCACCGCAGTTTGTCCTTCATGAGCCTTCGTAGGCAGTGCAAGATGGCGGCTGCCTGTGTGGCGACCCGCGACCATGGAGATATAAACAGCTTTTTATAAGGTAAAAATAATAAAACAAGGTCTTTGTCTGCAATGATTAGACATGTTTTTATTATCATCATTAGTGATTAGCTCAATTTCGGCTAAAAGATTTGACAAAATCCTACACACTGTGCCTTTAAGTGACTGATGTACAAAAATCAGGCAATATTTTCCGACATATTAATATAAAATAAATAAAATGCTATATTTTATTTAATTGGAGACAGAAAGTTATATATTGTAATTTATCTTGGAATGTTTCGTTTGACATCGGTGGTATAGCTTATTTGACTCATAAGTTAAAAAAGGAAGAAAAAGTCTGTCTATAAGCATCACTATGTTGCACAAACATGTTTCAGAATGTGTAAGCCTCACCTGGGGCACTCTGAGCACCGTGGTATCCCCCATCGTCTGCTTCAGGGCCACCAGGACACCTCCCAAGAAACCGGCTGAACCGTAGATGCGCACAGCGAACAGGAAGTCCAGGTCAAAAGTGGCCACATAAGTCAGAAGATAGGAGAGGCCCGCTAGGAGTCCTGCAGACACATTCACTACTGCAAAAAAGATCAGGAGCTCCAGAGCACCCCACAGGGGTTCTAGCAGGCGCCCACAGGCCATGACTGTCCCCACATTGGCCACCACGCCCCATATATGCTGCTCCATCAATCCATGGGTCACCAGTGTCCACACCCAGAAGTTGGGCGGAAAGAGGTAGCCTGGGGTCACTCCCAGTGCATATGAAGTGTCAACAGCCCACGACAGCAAGTAGAGCAGGACCACAACTGCACTTATGGTTTTCACTACCACACTGGTGCTGGCTAGGGCGGCCAGGAAGTGCTGCCGTGCCACCGGCAGGTAACGATTCATTGTAGTCTTCCTTGAGCAAATCAGCCCAAGAGAAACACAAAAAAAGTTTTTTAAGTGTTGTTTCTACTGTAGTGTTAGATTAGATAAAGAGTTAAAGTCCAGACTCACGGGTAAGTTCTGTCAGCATCAAGATCCACAGTGTTTTATGAGTCCTCATCTGGATCCTGATTGTCAAAATGTAGCTTGTTCTCTCAAAAGCCTCCCTCTCCTCTGCTCAAGTTTGTTAGCTTTTGTGTTGAAATTAAGTAAATTGAAGCATGCCTTCTGGAACATTCACAAAACTAATGTATGGAAACACAAAAAGGTTGACCTAATAGTTCAACAAAGTGAACTTTGGGCTGCAGACAAACTTCAGTGTGACACAGTTCAGGAACAGGTTAAAAACCTTCAGATATAACTATCAGGCCGGTGACCTTAACTATGAAGATAAAATAAATTTAGCTCGCAAATCACTAATAAATTTGCCAGAAGGTGACAGAGGATAGACATGCAAATCACAGCTGAAACAAACACGCCAGCGGCGGATCCTTGTTGAGCTAACTTAATAACATGAGAGCTAATGTTGGCTAACTCAACTGTCAATTACCACGATCATTTATGTCCTCCGTCACAAAATGAAGACTACGAAGTGTTACTCTGCTTATTAGAAAGGATACTTCGTGTCAGTAAAACCTGCTTGCAGTTAGTTAACTAGCCGTCGGAGCTCCGGTCATTCTTGGTTCTTTTGCTGTCTCTCGTTCCGGTGTGTCCAGTCAGTCAGACCGAGGATTTCCCGTCGCTAGCTTCAAGCAACAGGCCCACAAAAACAATGTTAGAGACGATTCAAAAGATGAACGAGTTCGCATAGACTTCGTAGATTTCCACGCTACCTAATCTTCATTTTTTTCTATATTTTTGTTTTTTTCTGTCTTCATTAAAAAAACAAAACAAAACAGAAAAAGCTTGCTTGTGAAAATAGTGTTTCATAAGCAGGCACTTCTAACAACATTCAGCTAGCTGACCTGCGCCATTTGCCATCGTCATCAGCGATGGAAGCGAAAACGTTACGTAACGTAACACGTTGGCGCAGAGCACGCTGGGAAATTGAGTTCCTACGCTTTGCACAAAACACCGCACAAATTCTGGTATAAATTTAATATTGCTTTGATAAGGTAAAGAATTAATAATTCAAAAGGATAGAGGAAAGACTACACCAATGGGAAACAAACAATGAATTCTGCTGCTATAAGAATTGTCTAATATCAGATGTTCATACATGAGTGTGTGTATATA